GGCCGTCGGCAGCGCGGCTTCCGACGCGGAGGACGCCGTGGACCAGGTGTCCAGGGACGCGGTGCTTACGGAGGAGGCGCTGGAAGCTGACCCCGGGATAATTTCAACAGTATCTGGAAGGGAACAATTAAAAATGCCTTAGCGACAGCATCAAAGGGAAAAAGAAAAACCCAGCTCGCCGCAGCAGAGGCATTAAAAGGCTCATTGTGCATGCCAGCAGAGCAGTTTAACTCCTCTTCCTGCCTCACTTATCTCAAAGCAAAATTTTGTTCCCTCTGGAGCATTCCCGCACAATCACCTCTTCAGAAGGGGGAAAACTGCTCTGTTGAGATGAATACCCTTCAAAGGGCTTAGTGTTCCAGCAGGGGAAGGGAGGCAGGCAGGAACGGGACTAAGGGACAGAAAAGTCTTTTCCCTTGGCTTAGCAAGAGCCTTTCCCTGTGTTCAGGAGGTAAGCCTGTGCTTTGGAATGACATGACCGAGAATCCGGAGACGCCGGGGCCTTGGCGTGCCAGCATCTCCCTCTTGCACAGATCTCTCCCTTTGGCACCAGCTGCACACACACCCCAGGCAGCAGCAGCACCGGGATATACATTTGGAGACAAGCGCTCGTGGGCTGTCCCCGTCAGCGCTCCTCCACGTCTGAGCACCAGCCCCACAGACCTGACAGCACACACCGCTTGCACAGGCCACTAGAGGATTTTCTGCCTTATTTCCTTCTCCCTTCTAGTTTTGCCTAGCTCACGGAATGGTAGTTGTCCCATTTCTCTGGGAAAAAAAGAAATCTACCCTAGACAATCAAATTGTTACGATTTTTCTTTACTGACAGGCCTAATATGTAGCCCTGCTAAGCCTTACACATTAGTTTCTAGGGGACAGAAACATATGTGAATCCTTCCTTGACTATAAAAACAGACAGTTTCTTGGGCAAGCACTCGGATACCTTCGTGCAGAGCACAGAGAGCAGAGCGGGTGCTGGAGCTGGGCGAGGAGGAGCGCAGCCCGTGGGGAGCTCCATCCCAAGGGCGCAGTCTCGCTCTGCACGGGCATTCCCAGAGCCTCCCCGTTTTCCTGCTGCACCAGCTCCCTCCCATTCCAAACGAGGAGCAGCCACATGAAGTGGCTCCACATTTGTCTTGTGCTGCACAGCCCACCCTGCAGCTATGACACCTCTTGCTGCACGTACCCAGCCTGGCGCTGCTCTGTCCTTTTGGGTATGTCTCCATGAGTTCCCCACCAGAACGAAGGAGCCATCCCAAGGCAAGAACAAACTGGGCAGCAAAAATGCACTCCTTTCTCCCAAAGAGGTTGAGCATCCCCCTTCTTTCCCCTCCTTCTCCCCTTTTTTCCATGCCTACCAGCTCCCCTACCTGCCCGCAGTGCGGACATGGCCATGCCAGCAGTCACTGCTGCTCTGGGGACGGTGTCATTCCCACAGACACCAATTCCACACGGATCTCATCTGAGCCTCGTACAAAGCTCCGCAGCCTGGGAGCCCAAAGCAGACCCGAGCCTGTCCTGGAAGCGCTACCGGTGAGCTCCGGCCGGGAATCCTCCACCCTTATCCCAGTTCTGCCTCGGCAGAGGTACCCGCAGCACCTGCGGCAGACACGGCCACGGGGACCTTAACGCACAGGCCGTGCCCTGGTCGGGCCGGCCAGCTGGGCAGCGAGGAGGCTGGTTCTCCAGGGAGAGCCCCTTCTCCGAGGCAGCCGGATCGGGAAGCCCATGCGGATACTGCACAGCTGCCAGGAGAGCGCGCGAGGCCCAGGCAACGTCCTTGGAGCTGAGAGAGGACCCAAGGGTGCCCTGGCCACCACCGCCAGGACTGAACCCTCTGGGAACGCAAACCAATTCAAGTCCTGGGTTCCCTTTGGCACCAAGCAAAGGGATGCTCTAAGCGTGGCACGGCTCCGGCCTCTCCTGACGGAGCCCCACGGGGTGACCGAGACCCACGGGGTGTC